GTGTGGTAGTGGGTCGAGTGGTGTGATATTACAACTACCAGTACCAATATCACTGTTTCTACCACTACAGCCATGGGTTTTAACCGACCAATAAATATCTCCTCAGCCAATGAACTCACGTTATTGTTACCGTATCCACTCTCAGCCAATGACTGCATCGCTTTGACTCAGCCAGTGATTTCATGATTTTCTATCAGCCACTGAATACACGTTATTGTCATTTTCCGTCCGTAGCTACAACCAGCCAATGAATACATCGCTTTCACTCAGCCAATAATTGGAATGTATTCGGTCAGCCAATGAATACACGTTATTGTTATTATCCATAGCCACAACCAGCCAATGAATACATGGCTTTCAATCACCCAATCAACAGCCTTCACACTTCCACGATGGCCAGTCAACAACAAGACAGACGAACCAAGAACACAGTGAGGTTATTGGCTGAGAGGTGACGTGTGTGTTGGTGTGTGTGTGGACCCTTGTTGGAGGTGATCCAAGCTTTGTCAGCATTTTGGCGGGAAGGACACCGTCAGGGAAGGGAGGAGTTGAGGTATAGGGCGGTGGTGTCATAGCCTAACCGTCTTTTAGGAAACTAGAGTTAAAAATGGATGGGAACGAACTCTCAAACGAATCATTTAAATTGTGTATTTCTATGTCAAACGAAGCTCCCTTTTATACAGTATCTATCTAATCTATCTATCTGCCTATCTATCTATCACGTACAATTCTCAAGTGTTTAGATTCTGGTGTTGGAATGTTCCAGTGTTAGGTGTTACTCCGATCTAAATGTCGAGGTCTGCTGCTTGGGTGTCCCCCCTTCCACCCCTCCTCCTCTTCCACCCCTCCTTCTCTTCCACCTCTCCTCCTCTCTTCCTTCCACCTCTCCTCTTCCACCTCTCCTCCTCTTACACCTCTTCTTCTCTTCCATCTCTCCTCCTCTTCCTTCCACCTCTCCTCCTCTTCCACCTCACCTCCTCCTCGTCCCCGGAAACAAACACAGGATGCATGTGTGATTATTGCTGAATTGATTATAACAAATAGACAGTGTTGGTGTTACTTACTGAATTGTTGAAGCGGTTAAACCATGTTGATAGGAACGGCGGACTTGTGTTAGGTTTTGTTGTGATCGAATAAACAAATCTGATGTTATGTACTGACTTTATTAAGCAAGTAAACAGGGCTGCTTGTGTGTGCTGAATTGTTTAAGCAAATTATTAACTCAAGCGACATACATCGATGTAATGAATCAAATAAACACTGCAGAATTATTTCATACCCCAATAATTTATTAAATCAACAGATGCTGAGGCGCGGATATTAATAAATTCGTATTAATAATGTGCTTGGGTGTTATTTTTATCATCCATAAGAGAGAATTGGGATCGTCCGGCTTAGAACATGAAGCTGGAATCCGAGGTGACATTTGTAACGTGACTTGCACCCAATGGAGTAACCTTGACACAAGCTAATTTTAGTCTGTGTAATGAACAAGGCGATGACTATCTTATCAATGTTTTAAAATTTATGTTCGGTTAATAACTGTTTTATTAGTTTTTCTCGCGCGTGTGTGTGTGTGTGTGTTAGAATGTTTTTTTCTTCTCTGTAACACTAAAGAGAAGTCTGTTCCGTGTTGTACGTCTCAACTATGCTAGACATTCTAAGAATAGGATTACAATTGCTCTTCCTCTTTCGCTTCGTCAGTAGTATTTAGTGTTCATTACTGTGCAACTAATGTCTCTAATTTAACGTGGAATGACGAGAGACTGTGTAGAAAAATGTGTCCTTGGCATGCAACGGGTAACTACTGACAACGCACATAGCTTCAGAGGAAACATGGTGTACAATCCACTATGGGCAGCGGCCTCGTAATCGCAAGTCGTATCGGAGATGACGTCAAGATGGACCAATCAGGATAGGTGTCGGAGAAAACGTCATAGGTGCAGGCGTGACGTCACCTCCTCGCTGGCGCCTCTCCTCTGCCCTGGCGCTTTAAAACTGTACATGGCAGAAGTGGTAGCCGGTCGCTGCCGCTCGCTCATTTTCACTGTCTTACACTCACACACATGAAGAATATCACACTCACGATGATTATACACCACGGGGGATATACGAGGCGAGATTATTAGTTGCCTCTACTTGACTCTCTGCAATTTGAAACCCAGTACTATTTATAGAAATTACAACTAGGTGTAACTAAGGAAAATATTACTAGGCGTTAGGATTTATCGTTCCAGCCGCGTTTCCAGAATATCCAACAATCAATAGCGTACATTGTTGGCATCGTCTCTGATAAACTGGACTCGCGGCGTTACAAAATCTGGAAGAGTAGAAGCAAAGGTGGATTGGTAACTTGTTTATTCCGTTCTTACTAATCTCATTTTCAGAACTTCGTGTAAACAAAAGAATAAAAATCAAGTTGACAAATTAGGTTAAATATATACCTTGAAAAATATTGTTCGCTCGTGTGTAGAGAAAAAAAGTGTTAATGTTGTTGTTGGGGTGAAAATGTGTTTGTTATGAGGGAGGAAGTGTTGCCATATATAGTGATGTTGAGATTGTGTGAGAAAAACATATGAATATTAATCACGAAACAGATGACACGAAAAGATGGTAGATTCGTTATACTCGATTGGTCTCAGGGAAAAAATGAAACACCCAGGAACATAACATAAGGGCAGGGGGGAAATTCAGGGAAAACAGGGACAAAATCCGTTATCAGAAAATAGGTCAGGTCTGGTGTGGTATTGTCGCCTGGTGTGGTATTGCGGACACATTTACCTGAGAGGGAGTGTTATGTAAAGTGTGTGTGTGTGTGTGTGTGTGTGGCATGGTGGCGGTAGCGGCCGTCTGTCACGTTGACTGTAACAAAGAAACTCATATTATTTTTACATTCACACAAACACGTTCATTCTAAGTGTATACTAAAAAAATAATACACTCACACTTATATTTTGATTCAAGCATTTATCACACACACACACACACACACTGTCTTCTCATAAGCTCTTCCTTCAGTATATTCAATTAAGCGTTGGATATTACAAGTCATTATCACCGTAACAAGATCACTAACGAGACAAAGAAGAGGGCGCTGGTTCACGACAATTATTACACTAACTGCCTCATTGTTATGCTCTAATTACTGGATGATCATGGGAAGGGCAGGTGGATAATATACAGCTGGTGTGAGGGGGAAGTGGAACTAATATACTGCTGGTTAGGGAGAGCAGCTGGTGTGAGGGAGGGCAGCTGGTGTGGGGGAAGGAAGCTGTTGTGGGGGAAGGAAGCTGGTGTGGGGAGACAGCTGGTGTGGGGGAAGGAGGGAGGGGTGGAACATGGCGACAGAACAAAAGAAAATTACGAGTAGCTCTTTTGATTTTATGGGGTAATATCGACCTATCTACATTACGTGTACCTCATTTACAGTTGAGGATGAGAGGGAATAGAGTGCAGTGCCTGGGGGCTTATAAAAAAGACAATGTCACAGGGGGAGGAATTGTTGGCTGATTGGAAACTGATTTAATATTATTTGATTAAACTGTCACAGAGGGATGGATTGCCGGGTAACTGGAAATTTAATTACATTACCGAGTTACTATCACAGGTGGTACGTTATTGAGCAATTTTAGGCTTTTGACGTGATTAACTTAGCGCCGTTTGTGTTGTGTATGTGAGTTGATTATTAGGGACGTTAGAGCAAAGGGAAAATATAGTTGTGTTTCCCCGTCAGCTTTAAAAGAGAAAATGGGGAGGTAACTCATTATTTTTTTTTTAGTCTCGGTGATGGCTTTGACCCAGTAAGTGTTTCCTTGTAAAATGGATGTTGATTTGTTTTTACTTTTACTTATTTTGTTTCATATGTATCATTTTAATGTGACATGTTAAGTTTCTTGTTTGTTTATGTAACGAAAAATGTTTAAGATCGGCTGGAACAAAAAATAAACAAATACAGTTGAGTAGGTTCGGGAATATAAAAATTTTTCCTTTTAACGTTGTTCCAATATACTTGTTTAGGTTTTATTGCTGTAGTATTTCAGGCGAGGCTACAGTTTTTATATGATAAGCATTACTGTTGCTCTGTGGAGAACACTCTACCTGTATTTGTAACTCAATTTATTCATGAATTAAATTTTGAAATGCTGTGCTAGCGTACTTTTACACGCTCATACGACGATTTAATAACATGAATGATTATTACAATGTTATGTTCGTAATATTGTGATAGTAATACAACTACTACTACTAATGTTAAAATATTAATGAGTTTATCCGTTTTAATAAAATGACATTTCATAATCATTTAATACCTATTACAGTATTTACAACATGAATCAGTGTTCTGGACAGTTGGGGAAAATCGACATCATTTTTCTAGCCTGTTCAACTCTAACCTTCCGTGTAGATTACGTTGTTAAATTGTCTATCTAATGTAATATACAATAATAGCGTAGACTGTTAACAAGAATGTCCTCATATCCTCGTGTCATGTTTTAATTAATAAGATTTTTTGGGGCTTTGTGGCTTTCGACCATATATTTAACACACTGTTGATATTGCTTCTATGTCGTTTAATAAATACTTCGTTGACTTACGTTGAGACAAATGATTGTAGCTTCCGTAATTAATTTTCGGCTTCTAACTTTAAATCGAAGGTTATATATTGATGTGTGATATTATGATCGAAGTAAAATACGAGAGACGGCGTTCACCAGCGGGTAACACTATACAAGATGTTGGTGAAATATGGATGCTGCGAGGCGTGTAACCCGTGATATATGTATGCTGTGGAATATTTACTCTTGTTCCCACATCCTATCCTATGCAAATACATAAATGTGTGACAATACTCTGTAAACATCTAAACACGCTATATAAACTGTGCAAATATTGTTTCTTGTAAGTTTTCTGTTTGTGTGTGTGTGTGTGATGATATTTTGGCGGGGAGCGGATGTTGGTAACTTTGGCGAGAAACTGATAATAATTTTATTTTCTTTCAGTGATCATTGACGACGACGACGAGTTAGACGACCTCCCAGACCAGGCTGATATTACTGAGGTTATAGAGGAGGTAAGTGGTGGTGAGGGGTGATGGTGGTGAGGGATGATGGTGGTACTGAGGGGTGAGGTGGTGAGTGTGATGATATTGAGGGGTGATGGTGGTGAGGGGTGATGGAGGTGAGGGATGATGGTGGTACTGCGGGGTGAGGTGGTGGTGTGATGTGAGGGGTGATGGTGGTGAGGGGTGATGGAGGTGAGGGGTGATGGTGGTACTGCGGGGTGGGGTGGGTGAGTGTGATGATATTGAGGGGTGATGGTGGTGAGGGGTGATGGTGGTGAGGGGTGATGGTGGTACTGGGGGTGAGGTGGTGAGTGTGATGATATTGAGGGGTGATGGCGGTTAGGGGTGATGGTGGTGAGGGATGATGGTGGTACTGCGGGGTAAGTTGGTGAGTGTGATGATAGGGGGGTGATGGTGGTGAGTGGAGGTGATAGTGGGGATTAAGAAGGGTTGAGGTGAATAGAAATATACACATTTTCTTTTAATTTTGACACGTGTATCAGCTAGTTTATAGTGCACCGCCAATGGATTACTGAACGGAGATAGGCGAATTGTGGTGCTGAATATTACAGAGTATTTTTAGTGTATACAAAACAGTATTACCAAATCTTGACAGCGTGGTTGATTTATCTTCTTGATGCATAATGTGAGCACTGTTCTACTCTTTTAAGATGTCGGTAATCTTTTCATCAGCCATAAATTGTTCTCTCACTAAGCAGGGTATACTTAGACATGTTGTTAAAGGGCTATATTTTCTCACAGTCTAAGATGTAGTGTGTGTGTGTGTGTGTGTGTGTGTGTGTGTGTGTGTGTGTGTGTGTGTGTGTGTGTGTAGTCACGTCTGCATGAGGGACACACTGCTAGAGGTACTTATATGATTATATCCCATCCTTGGTCTAGCGGTGACGTGTCGTGGCCTGTTGAACTTGTTACTTGTTTCATATGCATGTTCGACTTGATTCGTCTCATCATGGCAGACAATGGGTCGTCTATTATACTTGTTTTCACATGTCTACTTGTTTAAATTTTTATCTACAGGTTTCCTCCTCATTACAACTTGTAGACTTCTAGCTGACAGTCCCTCGGTATTTTCAACAGTTTCCTTATTAAACTCGAGCTCCGTTAAGCCGCTTACCTGAACTTGGGTCCAGTCTTACGAGCGCAGTTTATTACGATCCCGGGTAATTATTTTAGAGTCAGGCGGGCTGGGTTCATTATCAAGGTAGCCACGTGATAAAAAGGGGAGTAATGAATTAAAAAGTTTAGGAACCTCCAAGTAAGGCATCATCATATATCTTGCCATGCTCAGGACGCGTATTTATGAGAAGGAATCCACACCAAATTGATCATAATCCCCTCATCAGCAAGGTGTGCATATTTGTGTGTGGGTTCAGAGACAAGTGGATGGAGGACACTGATTTGGAGGTGTTAAGAGCAAGTAATGAGGAGGAGGAGAAGAGGGACGGGAGGAGTCAGTGAAGATGAGATTGTCTCCGATAGTAACTTAAAGGTGTAAGAGGAGTTAGTATGACAAATTGTTTATATTTGGCTGTCTTCTCTAGTGTGTTATCAGTGTGGTAAGGAGGATGAGGAGTGGTGCGGTAAATTGATGATGGTAGAGGGTGTGTGGTGGTAACGGTGATGAGGACGAAGGGTGGTGGTGAGATTTGAGGATGTGACAGTGACGGAGTGTGTGTGGGATGTTGCTAAGGATGAAAAGCTTAGTTTTATTGGGTAGGCCTAGTAGGGATTGTCGCAATGGAGAAATGTGATATAGGGGAAATGATGGTGGTATTGGTGTTGACAAGAGTGATAATATCGTTGCTTGTGGTGATGGTTGAATTTTGGTGGTGAATGGTTATTGTGGGCGAGGTGGTGGTGTATTGAGAAGGTAGGGTAGGCAGGATAGGTTAGTAGCAAGGTCTGGTGAAAGTGGATGTTAAGGCAAGAATGAGAGATGAAGTAAAGAGGAAGAAATGCATTATCAGAGTAAGGATGAGCCCAATGTAAGAACCTGATTGAAGGAAATGATTCTGATAGGGGGAACGTCTTGGTGAAAGAACGTGTGGTAAGAAGAGGTAAAGGGGTTACATTTTGTTGAAAGGCTTAGGAAGGGGGAGAGTAAATGGTGCGATATTCTAGTGAAAGTTGAGTAAAGGGTAATTTAGTGAAGGAATCTAGTGAAAGTTGAGTAAAAGGTAATTTAGTGAAGGAATCTAGTGAAAGTTGAGTAAAAGGTAATTTAGTGAAGGAATCTAGTGAAAGTTGAGTAAAGGTAATTTAGTGAAGGAATCTAGTGAAAGTTGAGTAAAAGGTAATTTAGTGAAGGAATCTAGTGAAAGTTGAGTAAAAGGTAATTTAGTGAAGGAATCTAGTGAAAGTTGAGTAAAGGGTAATTTAGTGAAGGAATCTAGTGAAAGTTGAGTAAAGGGTAATTTAGTGAAAAAATTTAGTGGAAGTTGAGTAAAAGCTGCAACATTTTAGTGAAAGAATCCGGTGAAAGTTGAGTAAAAGGTACAGTGTTTTAGTGAAAAGACTCGCCAAAGTAAACATTGAGGCATTTCAGCGCTGGGACTCAGGAAAGGACATTATAAGGAGGAATGTTTTTGGAGAAAGGACAGACAGCAAGAAAGAGGACGTCATTCCTCTAACAGGTCCCTACTTGTCAGCCTCGTAGACCTTCTATTGTGAGTGGTCTAGGCCGAGCCTCCTGCCATTGTTCTCCCTCTCCCACCGTGTTTGGTCTTACTACATTGACCTGCACCCAGTCTTTTCTCTTCCCTGTTTACTCATTTTTCTTCTGCAGGCTAAACCTTCATCGGATATTTTCTTAATGTTTTCTTTTTTTTTCACTTCCAATATGGATGTGCTAAATGTATTGTACTGGCATCTTCTCGTTGAACAAATATATAAGAAAATGTCTTTAAGTTCTCTCACCATTTCTAGTGTTTTCATTGGGATTTTTTTTTTTGTAATTCATGAGACACTTTTCATTGCTTGACAAAAACAGAATACACATCCTTCCTGGAATTTGTGTCCTCTGTAACTTTGGAACCAGTCGGGGGGGGATTTTGGTGACAGTTAACACAAAAGTCAGAAGTGAATAAAACTGAAATCCTTTTTTTTTCCTGTATGTTATATCTTTATTCTTCACCCTATACCATATTGCTGCGATGATCCCACAATTCTTGAAGTAATGCGTATAATGGTCCACAGATTAGTGTCGAAGAGCGTCCCACAGTGGAAGAGCTACCCCCTACTACTCCACCACCGACCCTCACCGACAACAGCGACATGGACAGTCCCATTCAGATCCACACCACCAAGACAGACGACCGCCAGGTGTCCATCTTCGCCCAGCCTGGCATCCTCGCAGGTTGGTTCTATTTCCCATTTGGATATTATTTTAATTTTGGATATAGCGTGCCCGAAAGTTATAAATTACTGAAACATTTATATTTCCTTATTCTGAGCATTTTGAACCCCATATATACCAGGCGGAAATGTATAATAGCGACACAATTGAATTAAATAGGACTAACCCGGAGCAAAATTGATATGCAGCACTGGCGGGTTAGTCCGATATATTAACCTGGGTACGGATTTGAATTTCATTGACCAGTCTCACTCACAATGGCCGTGGTGGAGGTTGGTTGTTATTTGTGCTCTTACGATTATTTTAAGTTTATTGCTGAGTTTTACGAGAAAGACGATCATTTTATCCAATTCTTATGGAACCCTGGTCCTTCCACTTTCAGGTACAGTACTGTACTTTCGGACATGGCGTGCCCTAAAGTTTTTAAATGTTGAAACATTTAGGTTAGTTTAAGCTAAGCCTACCAGGGGTCTGGGGGCTGGTTAGGCTAGATGACTTTTTTGTTTTCTCCCCCCCACCCAAAAACCCGATTTCCCAGGCTCTCCCCCATAATTGTAGGAGAGGGGGGGGGGGGGCAAAGACGAGCAATTTCTGCCAAAAATGAAGGTCAGAGTTGCCTAAAACATACCAAAATGCACTGGAAAAACATATTGGGCAAACCCTTGGGAGTCGTGTCTGAAAGTAAAAATTTACCAAAAATTAAACCTAACCTAACCTTAGTTGATATGAAATACAAGCAACAGAAGTGTTGCTAGAAGACCTGACCTCACCATCGTAACCAAAGAAACCTACCTAACCTTACCTAACTTCCTAGCCATGGGGCTACACTTCCTTATATATTAAACAGAAAGAACTTACTATGGTATGGTGTAATTTTATGTTTTATGTGGATGTGAGAGCAGCCACCCATACCAAACAGCTCATAAGCATACATTGAGCTGCCTACTACCTACCTGCAAGCAGTAGTAGGCAGCTACCAAACAGGGAGGTACTACTGCCTGGGAAGATCTTTGAAGCATAATGTATTGTCTAATGGTAGACCCTGCTGCTATATGGCATCACGAAAATTGTGACCGAGTCCCAGGTTGCTGATGTGACTTTCTGCCTCATTTACACACAATTGCAGGGTCTCAATTGTTTCTCTTACTTTGACAACACAACATACATATATTGTTTCTCACTCTTCGTTTTTTTGGGACTTATTTATGGTTCTTTATTAATTATTATTATTATTATTATTATTATTATTATTATTATTATTATTATTATTAAAATTACATTTTTGCCCCTTAGGCCCCGATGTGGGTCAGTGACCTGTGCCCAGGTGGGCTAATCCCCATTTAAAAAAAAAAAAGCATCCTTCAAAGGTTCCAAAAAATTTGATGATAATTATGATAGTAATAATAAAACTAATAGCTCAGCAGTTTATAATTCATAAATGGACTCTTAACTTGAGCTTGGTTTTAGCAAAACACTTTGAAGATAGTTGTCATTTTGCTTGGGATAGGGAAAGAATAGATGGAGATGATTGGGGTTCCAGAAAACAATGCATGTGGCTCACAGGGTTCATTGGTCAAGGGAAGTTTGGGAACTACTGCATTAGATAGTATAATAGAAGCTGTTGGTCATCATGTGCCCTCAGGGGACTAAGGCTTAACTCATGTATAAGAGAGGTTAAGTTAGACATGACCAGAATGTGAAAGATTAAAATAAGTATCCAGTTGTTCCTTTTATGCAGAAGTTTAGTAGTGTATAAATTATAATATTTTAGTATGAAAATATTTGTAATCTTTGAAGTGGTTGAGTAATGTGGATTGGTTATCTTGTAAAATGATTCTTGGAATTCTTCTCTCTGTGCATACTGTATTGGAGAGGAAGGATGTGTTTAGCCAACGTTGAAGAAATTATTCCTCGTACAGTATTGAGCTAAATTAAAGAATAATAGTATATTGTACTACCATTCAAGGCATCCATATTTACTATACCATTTGAGAGAACTTTCGTTTTTCCAATTTTCCTGCAAGACCAGGGAGAATATGCTGTATCTATATTTTATATTTATGGGTAGTACAATCACCCAAATAAATGTTGTCACAATTTCCATAAACTTTCAATCAGAAAGTGGCACATCTGGCAACTAACAAGCTCGCTTAATTTTAGTAATCTTTTTTGGCTTTATTTTAGTAATCTTTTTTGGCTTTATTTTAGTAATCTTTTTTATTGAGTTGAAATGTAGTTTTCAGAAATACTGTACTGTAGTAACAGAAATTCATTAATAGATGCTAAAATAGTTTTCATAAGAATATTCTAAGAAAAAATCATTTCATTAGTTAAAATTTTAGTATATTTTTAACCAAAATAATATGACAACAGATTATCACTCGGGGACATTTAGGAACAATTTACATACAGTATTTAAAATCGGATGTCAAAATGAATAGGAATACAGTGGTACATTATACATTAATAATGTTAAGTTGAAATAATTATTGAATAAAAAGTATGAATTAAAATAATATTCATTCTGTATTCAGCACATTTATGCTATCTCTTTACTGAATATATAAACAAATAATGATGTAAGACGGGAACCATTTATAAAACAAAATTCTGAGCTTTAGATAGTACTGTATACTGTACAGTATATACCATAGGTTTAAATAAACATTTATTGACTGTTTTCCCTAGTGCTGTAATGTATTATCATCTAAAAATATTATATTTTTTTAGCACCAAGGAATAAAATATAAAACATTAAAGATTTACATTTATTGGCCATTTTTTCCAAAGGAAAAAAATAATTTGGGCTATACTGTATTGCTAACTCTATGAAAACTTATTCAATTACTGTGATAGTACTGTAATTATTTTAGAGCAACAAATGCCTTTCAGTTTGTTCTAAAAGTAAACAACTTGTAAACAAGTAAGTGAGCCATATGCAGAATATTCAACACCTAGAAGTGCTATTGGCCTGTGTTGCTGCATCATATAGTAGTCTTAAAATAAACCGAAGACTACAGTATACTGTACTGTATACAGTTTACTTTTATTGATTTACACAATATTGTTTAAAGCTTCATACAATACTGTATGTATACAAACAGACATTGACACACATGCACACATATCAATAAGCATTAACTGTACATAGCAGGATAATTTTAAGGTTATAATTCTTCATGATGTCAACTAGTTCCATCCTATGAGGATGTACGTTTGCCAGCAAAAGCCCTCCCACAACCCTGTTACACAGGGCTGTAGGAGAACTTTTGCTCGCAACTGTACCTTAACAAACTTGTTCACAATGATGTTCACATTAATTTCCATGGAATAGTGAACATTCACGAGAGCACATCCTTTAAGACGATCCTGGCCCACCCGGGCACAGGTCATCGACCCACATTGGGGCCTAGTGAGCAAAAAAATAAGAATAAAAAGAATTAAAAATAGAAAAGGAAAAGGTTATATTAATCTACACCACGAAGTTGCCGGAAAACCATCTTTTTGAAGTGAAACAGATTTTATGAGTATGGAAACACAGAAGAAGGCAGAGTATTCCACAGTTTGGCTGTGTAAGGAAAGAAGGATGGACTATAATGGGTTATTCTAGTATGACCGACATCCACAGAGGAATGGTGGACACCATGGGCAAGACGTGTGTTACGGGCCCACGGCCTTGCCGGCGGTACACAGGATGTCAAATCCACTGAACATTGCCCGTTAAAGTACCTGTAAAAGAGAGAGAGTGCAGCAGCATTGCAGCGAAGAGAAAGGGAAGAAAGATTGTCAACTAAAGGAGGAGAGTTAATAAGACGAAATGCCTTTGATTCCACCCTATCTAACAGTTGGGCAGAAGAGCCACCCACAAATATAAGAGCAGTACTCCACATTAGGACGAATGAATCCCTTATATACTCAAAGCACCTGCTCAGGAGTGAAGTAGCTACGGCATCTGTACAGCTTTCAGGAGGCATCTTTAGCAAGGTTGAGGATGTGTGGCTTCCATGACATTAGAGGAAATGGTGAGGCTTAGCATATCTATTTTAGAATTTGGCAGAATGATTGCGTCCTGAAATGTGATTGGTGGTAGATCATCTAATTTGGAAAGTGCAATTGGTAAATACTGTGTTTTATTACTACTGTATTGAATTTAACCAAGTTTCTACCTCCCCATTCGGAGATGCTACACAGATCCGCATTGATAGATGTAATGATATTAACTCTAGAAACAGATCTAGTTTCAGAGTTAGGGGGAAGGAGAAAATTTAAAGAAAAGTGAAGAGTAAGAATCATCAGCGTAAAAATGAATAGAATTAGTTGTAGTGTGAAGTAAATCATTGATAAAAAGAAGAAGAGAGTAGGTGAAAGTACAGAAGCTAGAAATTATAGAACAAAGAGGGAAGTTTAGAAAGCAAAGACTTGTGCTTTACCCTGTCAAATGCTTTGGAGATGTCGAGGGCCACGATGAAAGTTTCCCCATAATCCCTAAGAGAGGATGACCAAAGATGGGTGCAGTAGGAGAGCAGATCACCAGTAGATCTTGCCTTGCGAAAGCCATACTGGTGGTCTGACGAAAGAGAATGGCGCTCAAGGTGACGGAGAAAATGGGAGTTCAAGATAGTTTCGAAAATCTTAGAGAGGGATGAAGTTAGGGCAATGGGGCAATAGTTAGAGGGATTAGAATGGTCATCCTTTTTCAGGTTGGGCTGAACCAAGGCTTGTTTCCAAGAAAAAGGAATAGTTTGGGTTTTGAGGCAAAGGTGAAAGAGGCAAGCAAGCACAGGGGCTAGAATTTCAGCACACTCCCTCAGAACACGAGGGGGTATTCCGTCCGGTCCATGTGCCTTACTCACATCCAACCTGGATAACACACCAGCAACCCTACGAGTGGAGATTATAGGAAAGTGCATAGGTTCAATAGGAGGTGCAGGGGTAGGAGGGATAGAGTTGGAATCGTCTAAGGTGGAGTTAGAGGAGAATAAGGTGCCAAAAAGATTGGCTTTGTCAGGGGGAGAGTTGTTATAGAGTTATCAGGTCGGCAGAGAGGAGGAACAAAGGGAGTACAGAAGTTATTGAAGACGTTTTTGGTTTAGGACCAGAAGGATTTACTAGAGGAAGAATTAGTCAGGACCCACATTACCTAAAATCCATCTGGGATTCCCCCTTGTAGCATCACCACGCCTGGTTGTGGTCACGTTTGACAATGTCAGGTAACACATTTGCCGATTTAGGCAAAATCACCCTCGGATGTATCAAACCTTAGTGTTATTAATTCAGTAAGCCAGGATAACAGTGTAAATGTATTGCCTTCAGATATACTTCCAGCCCTTAAATATATGCTGGTAAGAAATAAAACTATCAGTGATTCTACAGCAGGTGTGGTGAATGTGTTTCCTGCAGGGCTCGATTAACCATAAGGCTAGAAAGACAAGCCATAGGCCCTCTTGATATTTAGACCCTCGAATTTAGGCCTTATTTTGTATTTCCTAAATTTAAATCTTTTTCACAAGTTCACAACTACACAAGATGGTTAAGTAAATGTTATGTTTACTAAGGCTCACTACATATAACACCATCCATCATCACTACATATAACACCATCCATCATCACTACATATAACACCATCCATCATCACTACATATAACACCATCCATCATCACTACATATAACACCATCCATCATCACTACAACACCATCCATCATCACTACATATAACACCATCCATCATCACTACATATAACACCATCCATCATCACTACATATAACACCATCCATTATTACATATAACACCATCCATCATCACTACATATAACACCATCCATCATCACTACATATAACACCATCCATCATCACTACATATAACACCATCCATTATTAAGTACATATAACACCATCCATCATCACTACATATAACACCATCCATCATCACTACATATAACACCATCCATCATCACTACATATAACACCATCCATTATTAAGTACATATAACACCATCCATCATCACTACATATAACACCATCCATCATCACTACATATAACACCATCCATTATTAAGTACATATAACACCATCCATCATCACTACATATAACACCATCCATCATCACTACATATAACACCATCCATTATTAAGTACATATAACACCATCCATCATCACTACATATAACACCACTCATCATCACTATAACACCATCCCTCAAATTTTGAATTGGCCTCAGTGAGAGAGCTGTTAGGGTCAGTACATCAGAATGGAACTACGCACTGTAACCAAGGTGTCAAAGGTGGAGGTGAAGGCCCAGGAGAAGGTTAAGGTGAAGGGCCCCGATCTCACAAACATGAGACCACAAACCCCAAGACTCAAAACAACAAGAAGAAGGTAAACACCACCTTCTGCCATGTGCAAAAGGACGAGGTTGTGCCTTGGGGAGACTACCTCTCCACCGGGAAAAAGACAAAGAACAACAAGAAGCGCTGAACAGTCGCCATCCCTTCTGATATTAAATAATAATAAAATAAGAATTGATTTTGTTTGTATTATTATGCTTTTATTGTTTTCATCTGTACACCTTCACCTTTAACAAATATCTATCTATCTATATCTATCTATCTATAAATGTATATATTTATACTGTATACTGTACTATATTTCATGTAGATCCACAATGAAAATGTGGATAAGATAATCTTGATAAAATCACACAGGAAAAGGGGAAACAATGAAGCACCTTAGCTTTTGTCTTTATTCAAGACATCTTCAGAGGCAACTGAATTACAAGGACCGAGAGAGGCTTATGTACACAGGGTAACCTTACTAAACATGAGGTCAGGTCAATAACATGACATCCACTAATGCACACACCAACACCACCACACACACAAAAGGAGCTTAAAAGAAAGGGCGACGTAACTAGTCACGTTAAGTCAGGTCAAAAACATGGGACCCACTAATCATCTATCCTACATCTAACTTGATATTGATCACATATCTATAGCTCTTATGCGAGGAAGTACTGTTTTTAAGTGTTTAGAAGTGCACCTGTTATCAAAGTGTTTCTGCAATATTGATAAGTCATAAAATATAAGCTGATCTGAAGTAGAGATTAATTATATGAGGATATATTCAGTTTTGTATATGTAATATTAATGCAATATAAAGTTGATTGCATGATTGAGATAGATTTATAGTAACATATAGAGCTTACTATAACTTTATGTGTGGTGGTATGGACATGTGCCGAGGATGCATGAATACAGGCTGACAAAAAAAGTTTATGATAGCAAGAGAGACGGGAATGTTGGGAGGGGTAGACCAATTGTCACCTGGGAGAAGAGAGTTAGAGAGTTTGTTGAAGAGAGAGTGGGAAGGGGAGGAAGAGTGCTTGAGAGAGCAAGTGAGGTGTGCAAGGATAAAATGGCCTGGAGACATTTCTGCCATGGCCACCCCCTATTGGGGAGTTCCCGGGAGGGAACAAGGCGTCGGCGATATTGATTGATTGGTTGATCAAAACAGGTGCTGGAGCGGCGCTCCGTTGAGCTCCAGCAGCACTGCACCCCTGGTTGTATTAAGGTGGAACAAGAGGACAGAGCTGTCAGGATTAGTCTAGTTGGCAAATATATTTATTGCAATGTTAATTTGTATCTAGTATACATGATAATTTCTGATCAAACGGTTTTGGTGGTACAATAAAAGCAGGTATATAAGGTAGGTATTACATAAAATATTAATACTGTACTTAGATAATAGATATTTTTTAAGAGATGTATCATTGGCTTTTGATTACAAGAGCTGCCAGGCTATGGGGCAAATGCTGTAAATTAAATTTTAATTTATGAATATATTGTACAGTACAGTACTTTATTTGTTGTGCTACAGCTCTGTTATTTTACATGCATGATTTTTTTTATACAGTACAGTATACTATATTTCAGACTGTATAGTACAGTACTGCACTCCTTCATAAGTAACATATAATTTTACACCTAAATTATTTTCCACAGCATTCATTGGTGGTGCAGTCGTGGGACTTCTATGTGCCATCTTGCTGGTCATGTTCATTGTCTACCGCATGAGGAAGAAGGACGAGGGTTCGTACCCCCTGGACGAACCCAAACGGATGCCACTCACCTCATCCTATTCTCCCAATGACAAGGAGATCTATGCCTAACTCCCTCCATACCCGGAGTACCAACTGTAGCAGGGGAGGGAAATCTTGGCATCCTTATCCCTACCATCCTTGAGTATTTAGTGGAAGATGAACAGAATATCAACGGTACTTCCCACCACCACCACCACCACCACCACACCCACTGTACTGTACCACTACTGTGTATGTCAAGGAGGAGGGAATTCAAATAATCCCAGACCCTACCATGTAGGGGACCATATTAGGACAAACTAATTTTATAGAAATTTACAATCAATTATAAATATAAATTTTACCCCTTAAATTCCCTCTCCTCCAATCTCTGAGGAAGATGTTTATGGGATGCGCATTCAGTCAGTCCCTTGATTGTCATGGAATTGGTTATCTAGATTATTTTTAGTCCAGCTTAACATCTTTTTCTTTTTTATGTTTAATTCACCATTTATACCTGGATACTGTAAATTATCCACTGAACAAATGCCAGCATTTAATATTCAGAATAAAAAGATTCTGGTTAACCAAGGCCTTGATTATCAATATACTGTACTGTATTGCACTATTTTGGGACCCAAAGTGTGGAATATTAACATCATATCAACACAACCATTTTGATGATGCTTATTATAGCAACTGACCCATGAGGTGGAGCTGTGAATATCATATTTGTTATGGTTCTAACTTTACCATTAAAGAGTTCATTGATTATTCATACTGCCAGCCTCCAACTGGCTCCATGCGAGCTCAAAAAACAGGGTAGGGAAATAAGTTCATCTTGGTTATGTGCACAAAAGCTTTCAGTTGGGAACCAGGAAACTGGTTTTTACAGAAGTCCTTTGGGAATGAGGACGTATCCTAATATTAGGTTAGGGATTGAGCTTTTTAGCTGTTTCCCTGTGGGGCCACTTTTTGTATTGGAGATATTTAGACCTTGTAATTCTTCCATTAATGTTTTCTTCAATTTTGCCTAGAGACATATTTTCATCAAACATTTCTCTCAGAAGAATAACACTCACTAATATTATTACATCATAATCTAACTGCTTTTCTTTAACATATGTTATGCTGGTATTAGTTATTTACATATGTGCTACTGTATCACCAAGAAGGATATCTATATGCTTTGTAAATGTAACAGTGTGAGAGCTGCACCAGTCTTATTTATGCTCTCAACTAACTCCCTAACATCTGTGTTTGAACAAAATGTGAATCTAGCTTTCTACCATCCTCGAGGACTTGGGAGCTATTAGTATATTACCACATAAAGTATGGAACTCTAAATGGATAATTACTCAAGGGTTCTACTTTATCCCCAGTATAGAAAAGTTGGTTTTATTCAACACTAATTTTAGTGTGTGTTTATATTTTTTAATATAAAGTTTCTTCTTTCCTTTTGATAGGCATTTGCAATATATGATCTTAGAGAATGGGTCTTATTAAGGGAAATTCCTGCCTTATTGTAATAATGTTTTACTCTGTGAATGTGATGGTCTTGACCCAGTCATAAATTGTATGACTTCAAGGTTAGAAACAAAATATTTTGTGAGATTGTGAAGGATTTTTTTGATATTTGATATTACTTTCTATATTATCTAAATAGTTAACACCTTCATTCATCATTTGTAATGAGCACAGTAGTAGTTAGGTTAACAGCAGGATTGCTTGTTGTGCTAGGGTTGCCCGGCTTATCTCTTACCTTAGGCAGAGGCTGTTCTGATGGACTCTGGTGCCGTTCAGGGCTTGTCTGGCCAGATGGGCCTTCGGCTTGGGCCGCCCAGTATCGGTACCATTGTCACCCACAGCGTGTGGAGACTGCACAGTGCTATTCTGGGGCTATCCTAGCTTGACTCCCATCATTGGTGACCAGGCTGGCCTTGCTTGACTAGTTTTGTGGTCCATCTACCTGGCTTGATTGATATGCTCTGACTGCCTAGCTAATCATGGCAGTTTTAAATGGGCTGTTAAACACCCATATTGGGACTTGCTTGCCTGACAAAGTATAATGCAGTTGTGGTTTTGGATTGGGTAATTGTGCTCAATTGTAATAAAAACTTAATAGAATGTGAAGGTGATAAAAATAATTAAAAATATATATTTTGTGTATTTTATTTACTCAAAGGAGAATCAAACTCGTTTTTTAATGTGTTTTAGTTAAGTGCGGTAAAAAAATATAGACCAGCATATGCAGTTGGGATGGGGAGGTGACATAATCACACACACAAGCAATAATAAGTAAATTAATAGCCAGGAGTCACACAAAAATAACTCGGTATTGTTACATGAACTTTTCAGTGTCAAACTTAATAACAAAACTCCAGCAGAGTGTGCATGATCCATCAGATGAAACAAAGATTGACTAAGAGTAAGACCTTCAGTTTCCTGGATATGAAATTTTACTACTAAGAAACTCGCAGTTTATATGGCTAATAGATTTTTACACTTGACCATTGAATGTGCACTTTGTCTGGCTACCGTAGACAGTTTTGACTTGACGAAAAAATCTGTAGTTTGTCTGGCAAATAATTATTGGTACTCATTATATACCACTAATAGGACTTAGCCAGTGGCACAGTGGATTTCTAAACAGAGGGTTCACTTGGTTATATTTATTTTACAAACATTATGGAATGTTTAAAATATTTTCACCATTTGAATATCGGTTAAGTTTTATAGCGTAATATTTTGCTTTGATCTGAATGGGTTGTTTGAGCTTCTGAATGAAAAAAAAAAAAGGCCTCCTCCCATTTTTTCCCCAAGAGGCAGAGTTACCATGTAGAGTAGTGTATAAGCTACAGGAAAGAGTTATTATAGACCAGCAACAATGGAGGAGCAACTCACTGACAGGAATGATGCATTTATACCAATGGGAGGAAGTATGGCTGTGGAAATCACATTCTGTTCAGCTGTAAGCTGCTAGAACTGTACTTGCAAGTGTGTGTCTCTCCCACCACCAAGCCCTGCTGAGTGTATCAACTGATGGACAATCATCCCATTAAAGAAAATAATAATAGAAAAAAAAAAATCGCAGTCTGAAAGAACCAAAACAACTTTTTTTTAAGAAAGAAATTTGTTTCCCTTGATTTTAATAATTGCTCCATCAAAAACCACTAAAATATTACCAACATTCATTATATTTCCAACAGTAGTAATTATTGATTACTGAAACCCATTTGTAAATTTGTGCACAGGCCAAAACAAGGTGAGAGGGAGGCCCTGAGCAAGTTAGAGTAACTGCTCTGCATACACACACACACACACATACATACATACTCACACTCGTTTTTGTCACTTTTATAACTCAGTTGTCTCCTGTGGGTTATCAGTAAGTGCCATCTCGGCCCAAGTATTGACTGGTGCAGTGTGTTCCAGATCTTGTGGGAGGTTTGGTAGATACTGTGCTGGCTGGAGGTTCATGTATGTATTACTCTCAACTAACCAACTAACTAGCAGTCACCTTATTAATGTGTTGTACTGCACAACTGTTTTATAATATGTCTGTTCCAGTCCAATCCGAACCTTTAGATTTAGCCAGGGCGTCTCGGGGGAGAGTTTTCCATTGATCAAGTGTGCCAAGAGTTTTAAGTATATTGTCTTCTCTTCATTCATATTATTTAAGATTTTACAAGGAACAATCCATTTTAGTTATTTTTGCCTTTAATTTACAAGCTTCTGGATTCTAAGTAATATTTTCTGGTAATTTCTAATGTTTTTATGTAGAAGCAGTTGTCACATTGTATGGGTCATCAACTCAAAATTGAAGGTTATTGAAACTATAGAAACCAGAAGCTCTCAGGTAATCAAACATTCAAGTTTTCAGTCACTGTAATTAGGTTTTTTCTCTCTTCACTGAAGGTGATAACTCACCAGTCCCTTCAGTGTCTCAGCAAGCAATGTGAAGAATCCGTCATAGTTTTTCACTACAGGAACTTCATCCATAAGAACAATAAAAAACTTGGCAGGATTCTGTTATTTGAACTGTATGTGTACAAATGTGGTGAGATCAACAAGCAAGTCATGTAGGTCACTATAAGGCTTTTCTCTTGTGTATATCAGCAAGAAACAGGGAGTCCTAGAAGAGACCTTCCACTGACTTGAGTGTGACTGATCCTGTCAGAGATAAGTATCAACTGGGGACTCTTTGGTGTCACTCGCTCAGCTTCATAACCACCTACCTGCACTCGCCTTAATGATGCCACTTTTTTTTTTCTTTTACATGGAGAAGCTGAATTCCAGTAGTAGTTCCCAACACATGGTGTATAGTTTCTATTTTTATTACATTGATAGTAGTGAAAGATCTTTTATGTTTCAAATTTGGTATTAAAAATGTCACACTTGCAGTTATTTTTAATAGCATATGTCACTATTGTATATAGCTTCAATGGGTGAAACCACAGATGAGAAATTTGTAATGGTGATAGCCAAAGATGCAACTTGGTAGGAAGATGAAGATGTGTGTGTTTGAGGGAGTGGAGTATCACCAAGGTGTTGTCTTGCTGAGGGAGCTGACCAGTGGCTGTGTCAGCTGATCTGAGCCTCCGCTAGCATTAGTCACAGCGACTATTTTTTCTCGTTTTACAGTAGGAATTAACGACCACAATATTTTAGACTTACATCAGCTGACTCTGTCACAAATATGTGTATAGTATTTTGTAAAGGTGAGTTTGGGTCACAAGGATGTAGGTGGTCCCCAGTCTAACTCATTATGGCAGATGATCATTATGAGCGCGGGGCAACTGCTGCCGCTGCTAACTCTTGAATACCATAATATGTGATTGAATTTCCAAACTTCTGTATAATTTGCTGTAATGTAAATTAATATTTGGTAAAAGTTGCATGGTAAAGTTTATAAATGCTCTTGAGTGGTATGTGTTGCCAGAGATGTTGCTCCCACAATCGATCAATCTTGAGTGGTAGCAAGGAGTTGTCCACCGCCTATTTGTGATCCTACGCCTCATGTCATATTGTAAACTGTATATTAACGTTCATACTGATATCCTTTCCTAGACTGTTCATCTATACGGGGTCCTTTTGTACTTGTATGACTGACAACCATAGAGTAACATGTGTTCAGTAAGTAGTACTTGGAAAAATAAATCATTTATGGAGTGAATTTTTTATTACCCAAGATGAAATTATTCCTTAAACAATTATACTGTACTGTAATTTACCAACAATAAGATTGATTATTATAATGGTCATACACTTTGTAATGTAAACACTTTGAATTATAACCACTTGGAGTACAATCAGAAAATCCAAGAACATTATAGGTAGTAATTTGTCTCTATCCAATATTCATACACACTCCTTCATATGTATCCATAACAGACAATTTTACACTAAATACCCCATCACATACATGTTTGATCCCTCTGTTTCCATAACACTAAAGTCTTGCTCTCCCTCTTCTACATTTTTCTTCATGGATGCTTTCTGTAACTTTAATTATACAGTGCATCAACACTGTCCCTGTGTTTAAACTGTTTCATTATTTTTTTTCATGAGCCGTCTGTGTTTTGACTCCTAAAACTGTATTCTAATCATCTCATTTGCCTGTACTATCCCTGATATTTCACTTTTGTATTTCTGGGTACTCAGTCTGGCTTTCAACATACCTGAAGTGCTAACTAGGCTCAATATAGCCAACTTATATTGGCTACTAGGTCTTATATCACCAATCCTAGCCTTGCATCATCAATCCCAACCCTACATTATCAATCCCAGTCGTACAATGCCAACGTTAATCCTACAATACCAATCCTAGTCCTTTGCCGCAATGTTGCTTCACTCTATCTCTTTTACCGGTACTTTAATGGCGTTCGGTGGATTTGGCATCCTGTGTACCACCGGCAAGGCCGTGGGTTCGTAGTACACGTCTTGCCTGAGGTGCCCACCATTTCTTTGTGGATGTTGGTCACACTAAAATAACCTGTTATAGTACATCCTTCTTTGCTCACACAGCCAAACTGTGGAATGCTCTGCCTTCTTCTGTGTTTCCATGCTCCTGCAATCTGTCTCACCTTAAAAAGCTGGTTTTCTGGCATCTTCATGGTGTAGATTAATATAATCTTTTTATTTTCTATTATTCTTTTCTTTTTACTCTTATTTTTTTGCCCGGGTGGGCTATTCTCCATAAAAAACAAAACAAAACAATCCTAGTCCTACTTCACCAAACCTAACCCTACATCAGCAAGCTTAGCCCCACATCACCAACTCCAGCCCTTCACCACCAATCCTAACCCTATACTGTATTATCAATCCTAGTCCTACATCACCAAACCTAGCCCTACATCACCAACCAAGCCTAGGATTATTTTACACCCATAACTATTGGTAACATTCTCAAATGTCCTTTCTGAATGAAACAGAATGGTTGGATCCACCCTTGTAGTAGATGTGTAAACTGCAAAATAAGAAAAATTACTACAAAAAATATATCAATATTTCAGACAAGAAATGCTAAGTTAAATTAAAGGTTAAATATCTTTTCAAGAAATCAAGACATTATATTCTATTGAGAAACATTGATGTGCAGTGAAATTTTTTTAGAGACCCTTTATTTTCAATGAATATATAATTCGTTGCCAACAAATAAGGGAATTTTTCGGTCTTAAAGACAGAAGAGAAGGAGAGTTCAAGCCTCCATACCCCTTCTATTAGCATCACGGTCGAAAAATACGAATTTTTAATTGAGATTCCAATTTGGAGTAGTTTATCTTACCATTGCCCACATTTACATTTTCTTTGAAGGTTTTCATCAAACGAGAAGGTCAGTCGTTCCCGCCATGTTGTGAAAAGGAGTTGCTCGACAATATTGACAAACTTCATCTATTTATAGTAAGTTTTCGCACGGTATATTACTCTTTAATAACTGTAATGGTAATTGAAGTACCGAGGATTACACAGAATTACATAGATGCCGCTACAGTAAGTGCAAGTCAGATTAATGGAGATGGTTATGAGTTGTGTCATGTCAGGTGTTTGGGACTATTCTCTCGATCCTGTCCATCGAATCATTTTGTCCTTTGGTAGCCACTTTTTTATCATCTGTTGAGCAAATATCTAAACTATGTCCTCGTTGGCATTACATTATGTAGTTCGGGTCCTCAGTTTTCATTCGTCTTTATTTGTGGATAATTTAAACTTGGTTATGTAAGTGAAGCTATTCAGGTCAGTAGCTGCCTTTCCTGACAATTTTTGTGAGGTAGTTCTTCAAGTGTAGGTAATTGTTAACTTTATTCTCGCTCATTCTTGTCTCGCATATAATTTACATGCCAAAATTAGCACCAAACGTGGATGAGAAATAAGTAGCCACCTGCTATTGTTTTGAAGATGGCCTTCATTATCAATTAGGTATTAGTAGGATTTCAAGTGTTGAGAATATTACTTTCTCTGGCAAAAACTGATATAATCACGGTTTCACATTTTAAAGCGTGAATTTGCTGAAGGTGTAGAAATTGTCGCCAACACAACAATTAGTGACCGACCAACTTTTAAGGAGTGATCCGAAACTTCAAATGCCCATTCATTAGTATCTTTATTATAGGCGTAATTAACTAACTAAAAAGAAGCAGTTTATGGACGAGTTAGAGGACAGTTTTTATTAAAGTTAAATACAATCTGCATTAATATTTTACGTCTATATACTGTGTACACTTTTCCACATGTTCTCAGACGTATCTACCTGGATCTAGGCTAACAAATAAAATTTACTGTTCCCAAATTGATCTCGTTTTCTACAGTGAGCAACTGCTATGTACATATAGTCATTCCCTTTTCCAAACCCAAATTTAAATGTTGATTTTGTTTTTAATTTCCAATAATTTGTGAATTTTAGATGTGGTTTTCTCTAAAGTTTCCACAGTTTATATAAGGATAAATTTTTATTGATGGGATTTTTTAAATATTTTTTCAAAGTTTTCCTGAACATTTAAAAGGATAATAAAATATTTTGAAGTCGAAGAAACATTATACTGTAGGTCAAGATCTACCAGTATGGCGGTTTTTAGCCAGTTGGACCACACAGTTGTTTGGCTGATGACAAGCTATTTCCCGAGAAAAGCAGTTGTTTGCTTTATACACTCTACAGTACAGTACATAGTGAACAAACTTTGAGCACTTCATAACTGATGACTATTCAGGTAATTCGAAAAAAAAGGCGTTTTGAGATTATGTTGAGAAAGAGAAGCACGGTTGTATAACAAGCTGCTAGCAGTTTTAAGTAAAGGTGGTGAAGACAGTAAACTCGAACGGTAAAGGTGTAGATAATGGCTACCACCAGAAGCTGTTTGTTGATTGTCTTTATTTTTGCTCTATTTATTATTTTGATGATTTTAAGTATATTAAAATAAACGACGGTAAAGGTGTAGAAGAGGGTGACCACCAGAAGGAATTGTCCGAATTGGCTATACAATTTCCTACACACTAATATCGTGGTATTGATCACAAAAATGGAAACCACAATGCATAGAACCTAATAGAACCTGGCAATCTTTTTTATTTACTCTATCCCGCTTCACAATTCTCCTCCCGGCGCCATGTTTACCACTGAATCCCTCTCCAAGGGACGTTTCGTATAAATGATGGTGAACGCTTCCACGTATTCCTCCTCGCCATTGTTGATTTCTATCAACCTCAATATTAAGGTAAGTTGTTTAACACAAATTAACATGATAATGCATAGAAGCTAATAGAACCTGACCTAACAAACCCAACCTATGGGTATGTTAGGTCAGGTTCTATGCATTGTTTCCATTTTTGTGATCAATACCACGATATTAGTGTGAAGGAATTTTTTTTAACCAATTTGGATAATTCCTTCTGGTGGTAGCCTAAATCTACAGTACACCTTTACCAATCGAACTTTCATTGCTTGGTCATAATATCGTTTTCGAGGAAAGATCAGTTTGACCGAACAAATTATCGAACATCCTCAAGTTTCAGGAAAATTGGCGGAGCTGTTGAAATGTTAACTCTTTAGGTGATCAAGGTGCTCAGGTAACAGTGTACGAGCTATAAATCTCATATACTCACCTTGAACAGTGAATCTGGCGTTAGGAAAGTAGATAGAGGGTAGAAACAAATTTAGATTGAGTGCAATATTATGAATAGCAAATATCCATAAATATAGCGTTCACTGGTTAGGTACTCAAAGATTTATACATTCAGTTTTGACTCGTCCCTGGAGATGTATAAAAACGTACCAAATTAACTGACTTAAGCTAAATTAAAGAAAAAAGATATATATATATATATATATATATATATATATATATATATATATATATATATATATATATATATATATATATATATATATATATATATATATATATATAGTGTCCAAAATCGTGCCTACATTACACATGATTACTGTGACTATGTTCACTTAGTACCAGACGCAACAACTTAATATAGTTTCGTGAATATCAACACCGAAGCAGTATTGGTGAGAGAACAAGTTAATGTAAAGAATAGCTAAGTGGGGGGTGGGGTAGGGGAGGCGTTAGGGCTTCACGAGTTAATTAGGAGAGTGAGGAAGAGCTCGTGTGAGTTGCGTTAAGGGGCAGGAATGTTTAGTAATGTGTCAAGACCGTGTGGATCAGAGTAACGAGGACTTTTGAGTCGTATATAGTGGTGAGTCGTATATATTTTTCGTATGATTTTCCTGTATTATGAGAGTCATGAATCCATCCCTCTTAAAAAAAATAGTGTGAATTAAGAGCCCCATAGGACACACTACACTAATATAATGCTATGATAAAATAGTGGTATGATGAACTGTATGCCTGCATTGTAAACAATATGTTCACGCCAAATCAATTTTAAACCTATACGGTGATTTTATTGATTAATATTAATACTATTATTATTATTTTTTTTTTCCCCAAATTTACGAAATCACGTAAAATCTTCAAAATAGCTTGCAACTTTAACGTTTGAGGCGTTTATAGATTTTTATTATAAAATGTACTATGTTGGTATATTTTGTATCGCAGTTCAGTATTTGCCCTAAGTACGTAACCGAGACGTGACTGATCGCCCAAGTAACCAACCAGCCGATCAATGGCGAAGAGGATAAAGTAAAGTATTGAATAGTTGACTG